GAATTATCTCTCAGAGCTAGAGCCAGTTTCTTTCAGAGTTTTCAGTGACAACCTAAATGCCTCATCAATGTCTGTCACTGATGAAAATGTTCAAGGGCTGTGTCCGGGGGCAAGCCTATTGGAGACACACTGCAGCTTCTGGGTCACAGTGTGGTCAAGGCACCCTGTGGTTTCCAGTTAGGACACAGAAAGAAAGTGAGAGGAGGATAGAGATGAATGACAGAGATTAGTGATAAGTGACAAATAGACAGACAGATGGATAGAGCATAATTCAGTCTATCTGGACAGATAAAACATATATAAATAATTAGGGGAGCTAATTATCACCCAACATAATCCACTATGCTAATTTGTACCCTACAAACTCTAGGTCCTGGAATATTTCAGAATAGGGAGAGAGCCACAGAAGAAACACACTGAGGAGCACGAGACCCAAGGCTACTTGAGTTTTGGGGTGTGACATTTTAACACAGTCTAACTCATTAAAATATCAGCTTTGAAGTCAAAACCAAGTTCTGTATTGAGCCAATACCTTTCCCGTACTTCTCATTCTGCCTTACCCCTGAGCTGTCCTCCCCAGGTCTGGCTGGGACAAGGAGAGGAAAGGAATGAGCGTCAGGAAGAGCTGTCATGCTTTTCTTTTGCCCAGGGATCATTTTGACGTAACATTCATGATACGCAGCAATATATTCAGGTCACATCTCACCAGAGTAAAAGCTTGAAATAAGCATGGTGCAATGGCTAAGCTACCTTAGGAGGACTTGAGGAATGAAAGAAAGTTGATGGGGTTGAATAAGAGGGAAGCACCAAAAGTCACCAAGAGGATCTGACCTTGAAGTGGTAAGCTACAGAAAGACCTGAGGGCTTAGGAGTACAGCATAAGAATGCCATGTGAGGAAGACCCCCTGGACAGTCAGGTGAGTAGCTGCAGGGAGCCTGGAAGGGAGAGAGTCTCTAGTGACAGCATTGCAGTTGTTCAAACCAGAAGGGCAAGAACCAGATGATGGGGCATTAGAAAGGGGAATGAAAGATTAAGAGGTTTGAGAAAATAAAGGTTAATGATACCCAAGGGAACCTCAGGGTGGCAGTGGGTGGTGAAGCAGCAGAGCATTTTAAGCTGTAGTTGGGGACCCCCAGAACCCCTCTGCCTCAAGAATTCTGTAAGGAGGCACCAGTTCCTTAAGGTCAGGATGTAGGGGGTTGGGGTGCTCACAGAGCAGTGTGAAGACATGGGGAAAAGAAAACTTACTGCTTTACTCTGGTAGTACTGGTTGGAAAACCCATAAAACTAGCTTCTTTCTCTGGAAATGGTTGCAGTTTTAAGTTCTAGGAAGTCATATTCTAGCAGCAATACTCTGCCCCTTGTCCTCAGTTTGTAGAGGTTACTGCAAATGGTTTTGCACCCGAGAGTGTTTGGAATTACTTCTAAGCCTCTCTGAGACTCAGATCCATTGAGACTCCTGACTGTTTCTCAAGACTCCCACTTCCCTTGGCTTCTGAAACATTACACTTCCACAGTTGTCTTAACTCTCTGCTCTCTGGGTCTCTCCATCCCTTTTGCTAATCCCTTTTATAATGTCCATTTTTGCATGCATACTGATAACTCCCATATCTTATCTCCAGCTTTACTCATGTTCTAGTTCTTGCTCTGTCTAGGCAGTGGATGACTCCATTTGTATGTCCTTCTCTCACTCCCATTCTTCCCTGTCAGATTCTTCTCCCATCAGTAAGGATTGTCCCTTTTCCTGAGGTCCAGGTAGAAATTTGGTCATCATGATTGTTTCATGTATCTCCCTCCCCAGTTCCAGTGACTAATGTCAGTTCTCCCTTCAGCAATCCCCCTCACTTCCAGCCTTTGACCTGTTCTCCCTGCCCTATCCCAGTCCGGAAGCTCACCATCTCATGGCCATGTGACACCGCTGCCTAGCTAATAACACCAAGAGATGTGTGAGTAAACAAATGGGTGTTGTATACTCTTGGGGCTCTGTCCTAGCCCTCAGAAAGCAAAGTGTAGGGGTGACAAGCATCTACTTATGGAAATTCTACTTAAAACTTTATATATTGGGCATCCATTTTATGAAAGGGATCCACAACTTTAAAAGATTTAAAAACCATTGCTGAATGTGGATTTTGATTCCTGAATTTGTACTGTTTGTGACACTTAACAGGTTGAGACAGATAGGCAGACAGAAAGATAAATAGATGAAAGGAAGGAAAGATGGATAAATAGGTGGGTAGATACAGGGGTCGATAGACAGATAGATAACTTACATACATGCATACATAAATACATATATAGATAGAAAATTTCTATCTGTAGGATTATTTGAAAATGAAATGAAATAATCTCAACACAAACCATAGACATTATCCCTGACTCCTCACTCTGAAGTCACCATACCACCCTCAGTTTAAGACTCCAGTGGAACTTCTGCCCTCTCACTTTTTGCTATTGATGTTCGTTGTCTTTTTCCCTCACTAGAATGTAAGCCACATGAGAATGGAGTCTTTGCCTATCTCATTAATTGCTGATTCTTCATGACCTAGAACAATCTCTGGCAGATAGTGTCTTTCAATAAATATATGTGAATGAATACAGAAATACATTCATTCCAGAAACTTAATAAAAGGTGGCAACTCTTTTCCCTCCCTCTTTTTAAAAAAAATTTATTATCTTATAATAGTTGTACAGTGGGACATATGGTAATATTTACATATGTATTTACAGTATATCTTAGATTTACCCCCTCTGTAGTTCTCCCTCTTTCCCCCTTCCCCCAATTCTTAGAACAATTTCAACAGGTTTCATTCTTCTATTTTCATATGTGGATACAAAATATATCCACCATATTCACCTTCATTTCCCCTTTCCTTGTGTCCATCCCCCCTCCCATAAGTACCCACTTCTGGAAAAGACCTATTTTTTCCCTCCTGCCCTCCATTTTTTTAAGTGTATATTGATAGACCAAGGGGTTTTTGTCTTGGTACTTCAGGCCTTTATATATCTTGCTTTAATCAAATTAACCCCTTCCCCATGTTATTTACTCATTCTTTATCACCTTGCTCCCCTAATATTCAATAGCTTTCAGTACAGTGCATTATATTATATTCATATATAGATGGTTATTTCAATATTTTTCATTCCCTAATATTTTCTTTACCTCTCCCATCCTCCCTCAGACAGACTCACTAATACAATTTTGTTTTCTTTGACACTATACATATGAATGCATTTATATGATCATTTATGTATCTATATATACATTTAGCTTATAGGTTTAACTTCCACATATAAGGGAAAACATGTGACCTTTGACTTTTTGAGCCTGATTTACTTCACTTAACATGAAGTTCTCCAGTTCCATCTGTTTATCTGCAAACAACATAATTTTGTTCTTCTTTATGGCAGAAAAAACTCCACTGTGTATGTATACCACATTTTCTTAATCAATTCATCCGTCATGGGGTATCTGGGCTGCTTCCAAAGCGTGGCTATTGTAAATGGTGCTGCAATAAACATGGGTGTGCAAGTGGCTCTATCATATCCTGGAGCACTTCCCTTTGGTTATATGCCCAGGAGTGGTATCATTGGATCGTATGGTAGTTCTATTTTTAGTTTTTTGAGGGACCTCCGTATTGATCTCCATAGTGGTTGTACTAATTTACATTCCCACCAACATTGCAGAAGTGTTCCTTTTCCCTCACATCCCCCCAGCATTTGTTGTTTGTGTTATTGATGATAGCCATTTTGACTGGTTTCCCTCCCCCTTTAAAGTTTGCCTCCCATCTAACGTGGCCTATGTGGAAGTTTCACTGATTCTGCCAAAGTTTAATTCTCTACTCCAAACTTCCAAAGAACCCTCATAATAGTTCAAAGCTTTTTATAACCAGAACTTTCTTTAGTAATTCAATTTTCCACCAAAAATGGCGTCTTTATTTTTTTCTGGGCACATCATTGTTTTGCTCATTTTTCTTCCATAATTCCATAACCTTTCCTCCTCCTGGAAAGCCTTTCCCTGTTCGTTTAGCCTAACAGCTATAAGCTAGCACTTCCCATGTGTGTTCCAAAGCACACAGTTCTGTGAAATGCCACTACCCAAAACTTCTACCTACAGTCTTATGATAGTCCCATAATAGCAATGTTTGCCTGAGTGTATTCTAAGAACATCAGGAGTTACATGAGTTAAAAAAAAAAAAAGAATCCTGGTCATATGACAAAGTTAAATTAATTGTTTTACTACAGGACTTCTTGGGGCCTTTGTGTGTGTGTGTGTGTGTGTGTGTGTGTGTGTGTGTGTTTTGGTTCTTAGAGGGACTCAGTGCCACCATCATAGCTAGCACATCATCTATGCACAAAGTGACAGTGAAATGATGCCAACTGAGTCAATTAACAGGGCTTTCACTGTTCGCATCTTCTCCATACTTTAATGAAGTCACCTTGCCAATGACCCCCAGTAACTCATTCCTTATATTACTTTACCATTTTACATTAAATACCAGAATAGGTTTTATTTTTAGTATGAAAATACCTTCTTCCCTTTGAAATTCTTTCCTTGCTCTCATCTGAATAATTTTTTTTGGTAAATGTTGCCACCTCTTGTCCCATTTCAACCTCCCATCATTAGGGAAAACTGGGTGGCTGGGCATGGATGTAAAGATGCAGACATAAGCTTTCTATCAGGGTTGTTTGTCTGTATGCTGTGAGAAAAATCATTTTTTATTCATTTCCTGGGATTTTGAAAACTATTGGATCAACAGTTATGCAACTCTGATGACATTTTAAAGGGATTTTCACCCAAGTGTCTTGGGTGTTTGGCTCCATGTTAGCACCTCTTCACCCTCAAAAATTTAATTGTTCTTGAAATTTCAAAACAAACTTCTAACCAGGAGTCTTTAGGGAGCTGGAAGTGTCTATAATAAAGAGGATGGAAAATGACTTTAGACATGTATCTGTAAGTCTGGCATCACTGGTAATTTAATCCTTATACATTTCCTTGCAGTCTTGTGGCAATATCTACAAAGGCCTTGCTCAGACTGGTGCCTGGGGCTGTTTTGATGAGTTCAACCGAATCTCTGTGGAGGTCTTGTCGGTGGTGGCAGTGCAGGTATGCAATCTTTATGGCAAGCACTGTGGAAGTCTATACCTCTTGTTTTCAGTCTCTCTTCAGCACCCATCTTCCCTCTCCCCTTACCATTTCATACCCCTTTCTCTACCCTCTAAAATCAGGTCTTAAGGAGGCTTTTCTCTGATGTAAGTACCCTGAAAATTACAACAATACATCCATTTACTGGCTATGAGACTGTTTCCTTTACTGTAAAATGGGAATAAGGACCCTCTGTCCTACTTACTTCACAGAGGTACAGAAAGGATCAACCAAGAATTCAGAGCCCAGTTCTTGGTATAGTCAGGCACTTTGGATACAGACTAGGGTTGAAATTTCAGCTCTTCCATTCCTCATCAAAGTCGTTCAGCAATTTGATCTACCTCTCTCAGCCTAATTCACTCAATTATCTATAAAGGGAAGAATCTGGCATTGATATTGTTGAATGAAGTCCTTCTTTGATGAGATTTTATGTAAGCATACAAAAAATACCTGTCTTTCAAGTCACCAGAAAGTATTCATTGGACATCTAAAAACATAGTGCTAAAAACTGGGTGAAGATGCCCAGTTGGATAGGAGATGATTCCTCACTTAAAAAAAATTTTTTTAAGTTGTTGAGACATACATGAGCATTTTCAACATTCAAGAAGTGATTTGAATTCTGACTCACAGTATAAGAAGAAGCTTCCAAATGCATTATCTCAAAGCTAGTCCTGGAAAGGCTAGAGAAGACTTGAATTTGGGTACCAATCCCAAAGAAAGTGTAAGCAATCAAAGAGGAGAAGGCAAGAGGTGATTAAACCTTTGTTAGAAGTCTTCTGTACCAGGCCCTTTTCACTACGATCTCTTTAGTCTCCCAACAGCTCTGCTATTACACCCACTATCTAAATGGAGAAACTAAACAGCAGGGAAGAAAAGTAATTGCCCAAGGGTATACTGTTGCAAAGTGGAGAGGTTAGGATTTGAACCCAGCACCCCTACCCACATCATCCAGGTGCAGATATGAACATAGATCTGGTAGCAAGGGGTAAAATGGAAGAGGAGAAAATAGGCTAGAGAGGCAGGTCTGAGTCAAACAGGAGACAGATTTAAATGCTTTCCTGAAATAGGTGCGGGAGCCTGGAGGACCTCTGAATACAAAGTTATCCTCTATTTGACAACAGTTTTAAGGAGAGGCTAGGCAGTAGGAAGATCAGGGACTGAAGTCAAGTCAAAAGTGCCTCATGAGGTCCTTGTTGGAGCTACAAATGTTCAGTCCCCTGGGCCTCCCATCACCACGAGGAAGCATATTCTTTGCCAATACCTGTCCCTACATATCTCCTTGTAAGCTGAGCACCCCCATTTCCTGCTAGAGGTGGCTGGTTTCAAAGCCATCTGCCCCACCCACCTCTACAAGGCAAAGCCACTGCAGGATTCCACACAATGACAAACATTGCAATGAGGGGATTGAGACAGGGGTGTGCCAGGTGCTCCTAGTTTGTGCCCACACACCATACAGAAAAAAAAAAATGGTTGAATTTTCTTCCTTTTTGCTTTTACTTCCAAAACAATGTGTAGATAGTACAGAAAAAGAAAAATGTAGCTATGGGAGACCCTTTAGTCCCTATAGGCCGCTCTGTAACCCTTTCAGGTCCAGTTGAAGGAAGAAGGAAAAATTCATCTGGACTGACATTTTTCTTATGCAAGAGTGTGGGGTCAAGGGACAATGGGCAAAATGGGGGGGTGGGATGGAATGACAGGGAGGTCACTCATGGTGGGAAAAATTGGCTGAAGCAACATCATCCTCTCCACTGGACTGGCAGGGGCCAAGCTCCATCCACATAACCCCTAGACTGTCACCCCTTTCATCTAGTATGCTGTCTGCATCACTGGTAGGCTGGACTAGGTACGGAAGCAATTACAGGCTGCACAGTGGTGGAACTCATCATCCACTCTCCATGACCGCCCTCATCTCTGTCAGGGGTGTTCAGTGTAGGTGTACTGTGCCCCCTCCTTGCCGTCTGTCACATTCGACAGCCAATTGCTGACCCTTGCTGGACTGTTCTTCAAGGAAGCTCCCCACAGTTGTCAAAGTGTGGGCTCTTCTCCTGTTTCCAGTGCTGAGATATGGCTTTCTCCTTCTTTGGGTTTGCTCTGTGCAGTAGGCATTAGTAGAGGAAGGAAATGATTGGCCTAAACACTCTCTTGGACTGAAACCCTGGTCTGGTTGGCTCAAAAGAGCTGATTATGTGCATCGAAATAGTGTGACACAGCAGAGCATTTCCATCATGACAGCTTGTAAAATCTGCACGTCAAGGACATTTTTGTTTTCCCAAAGAGCCAGTTGGTAAACAGTTACCAAGCTCACCTCTGTCTTGCAAGGACTTCACATTGCCAGATCTTTCAAATATTAAAAAGAAGGTAAACATTCATGTTTTTACAAGAAATCATATTTTTACTTTTTCTATGATTATGAAAAATACCCAAGGCTGAGTAGTGTTATAAATAAGAACGTTTGTTTAGCTCACAGTTCTGGAGGTTCAAGGGCCCACATCTGGTGATGGCTTCTTACTGGCAGAGTCCCAAGACATTATAAGGTGAAAGGCCTGGAGCATGTGTGTTCACACATTTATATGTTCCCTGTTCTCTCACCCTCTTATACAGCCATATGATTCAATCATGGGACCCTCCTGCCCTGATGACCTCATTTAATCCTAATTACCTCCCAAATGCCCCCCTCCAAACACTATAGTTACATTAAGTTTCTGTCCTCTCAATAACTCAAAATTAAATTTCAACACATGAACCCTTGTAAGATACATTCAAATCATGTAAACATATTTTCTGACTTTTCCACCTTTTTGGGGGGTAGTGTACTAGGGTTTGAACTCAGGCCTCACACCAGCTAGGCAGGCACTCTACCACTTGAGCCATGGCCCCAGCCCTCTGTTTTCACCTTTGGTGGTTACATCACAACCTGAATCCAGAAATGATGCCCTTTAAGGTCTGCTTGAGTTTTGGGTGCTAAACCATTCTGTGGTATAAGATGTGGGGTAAACAAATAAAACAAACCTTTCTCAGAGCACTAAGTCTAGCCTCGGAATGATTTTGAAAACCTGGAGAGAAGTTGAAGCTTTCCCCACTGGGGCCAATGGGAATGTCTTTGTTTCTTCCATTATATTGTGTACATGGAGTTTTTCTTCTTCGTTCTTTCACTTCAGGTATTTATCTTTTACTCCCTTGACTATCCTTTGTTATTGCCACTCACCTTCATGTCTACCTCTTTCATCTTTACAGTTATATTTTTTGCACTCTCTCCTCTGGCTGCTTGCTGCAGAATTTGGAGGACATCGCTTGTTCTCACCAGCCAGGCTGACTGCTGTACCTGACTTCACCTAAGCCCAGGACCATTCATCATGCATAATTGCACTATGGGTGCACTGGGGTGATGCTCAGGGACAAGGGATGGCCAAAGGCTGTCTCAGTGTGTGAGCCAAGGAACCACTTTCCAGTGTGCCCCCCATTGAGCCCAGAGCATACAGAAAGAGAACAATGAAAGCCAGACCAGGGTCAGCAGAAAGCCTGTCTTGGGCTCCAGAGATTATGTAAGCAAGCTCTTCATGCAACTGGGATTTTTTTAAATGGCTTTTTATGCAGTGGAGATAGATAGGCAATGGGGTGGGAAGTGGTTCCATGTATAAGCTTTGAAATCAGACTGACAGTGTTCAGTTCTGGTTCTGACTCTTACTAGCTGTGTGACCTTGATCTTAAGGTCTATCTCTGTAAAAGCAGTTGATAGTACCTAGTTGAGGCAGTTGTAACAATGTTAGACAGTATTATAATCTGTGTTGAGATGTTGGTGATCAAACCCAGGACCTTGCACATGCTGGGCAGACACTCTACCACTAAGTCCATCCCCAGCTCTTTAGATATTAATGAATTGATATCTAAATCACTTAAATCTAAGCCCTATAGATAGTAGGTACTCAATAAGTGTTGTTATGATGAAAATAATAGTGATGGTTGTGATGTTAGTAGTGAAGGTGGTGACGATGATGGTGATGGTAATAATGGTGGTGACAATCATAAGCATGGTGATTGTGGTGGTGGTGACTATGGTGGTAGTAGTTCTGATGATGGTGGTGATGGAGATGATGGTGGTGGTGGCAAAGAAGGTGATGATGGTAGTGATGATGAGGATGGAGGTGGTGGTGATGAAGGTAGGTGATAATTATGATGGTAGTGGTGGTGATGGTGATGGTGGTTGTGGTGATGAGGATAATTAGTATTATTATTACCCTAACACAGCAGAGAATGGGTTAAAGACAAGCAGATAGCTGAGCACACGGGGCAGGGAAGGAAGGTACACACTCAGGTCTCACAGGCTTCCTCCACACCTGCACTTGCTCTCAGCCGGACAATCTTTGGGTTATCTTACAAACTTAACCAATGAGACAGTGCGTAGCAGCTATTGTCCCCACTTCTTAGTAGACAAACAATGAATTTACCTTATTTTCAATGTGTCCAAGACAAGGTCAATGAGGGGTTCCCTAGATCAGTTTATTCTTTTTGTTCATGGAATTAAGTGAAATAAGTTCAACCTGGAGTTCTCTGCTGCCATCACACTCTGATCTAGGAACACATCCATAGAAAACATTCTCAAAAAAGTGGCTTAACAATAGCTCGAGCAAAATCTGAGCTGGTAACATTTAAAATCATATAACCATCCAAGGAGAAAATTGTTCTTAATTATTCACACAGTAATCCAGGCTGGCATATTGGATCCGAAACGGCTCCAGCTGCTGACAGTTCTTCTCTGTTGCCCTCCCCTCTCCTTCTCTCCTCTCCTCACTCGTCTGTGTACCTCATCCCAGTAACTTCTGCAAAAGTGATTATGCTCCAGTGTCTTTATTGCTGGATATTTTCATATCTCTGTCAGATTAGTCAAGCAGAATTGCATATCCATTTGAGAAAATTCTCAGTGCAATATTCCAAGAGAAATTATTCTGCTATTTTTAAAAGAT